ACACAGCAGAGGCGGAACCGAGGTCTTGGGAGGGAGGGAGGGGGGGGGGGGCTGTGGGCAAGGAAGCGACGCCGAACGAGTCCTGCGAAGGACCGGTTCGAGACCCTGATGCAGAACGCGAGGATTTCTCCTTCTGGTTTCTTGCGGAAGTGTGCGTCGGTGCCAGGACTCTTGGGGCGGGCCTGGGATGGGCGTGGGGGGAGGCCCTCGCGGTCGGGGTAGCTGTAGGAGGTGGCAGAAGGGGTCGTGCTAATGGTCGTTTCGGTAGCGTGGAAGGAAATGATTTTGTATTGGATAGATTGGTATTTGTAAAGCACACACACACACACACATACATGCACGTATTCGTGTGTATGTTCTACTGCAGAAGAGAACTGGCTGCCATTCACTTTCGCTGCCTCTTACTATCAGCTCGAAGGAGAAAGTATAATGAACGTTAAAAGCGTCAAGTGCCTTTTTTCTCTCTCTCTCTCTTCTCTTTTCTTTTCTTTTCTTTCTTTTTTTTCTCACCCACGCAGCTGGATGAGGACGAGAGGAAGGGCAAGTGGATCCCAAAAGGGAGATCGGGTAAACAAGCAAAAAGCTATTAGGAAAACTCTTGTCTCGGCGTCACTGATTCGCCGAAAAACTTCAGATAAACGTTTTCCCGGCAAGGTGGCTACTCTGTGCGTTCGTGTGTGTGTGTATGTATATATGTATGTACATATATATGTATGTATGTGTGTATATATAATATATATATGTATATGTAATATATATATACGATATATATATATACATATATAAACATGTATATATATGTGTGTACATATATATACATTTATGTATACATGTATATATATATATATATATATATATAATATATATATATATATATGTATGTATGTATATATATATATATATATATATATAGTGTGTGTGTGTGTGTGTGTGTGTGTGTGTGTGTGTGTGTGTGTGTGTGTGTGTGTAAATATAGATATGTGTGTATGTATATACATATACATTGCCACAATTTGTTATCAGTCTCTTTCAAGCGGGTGCCAATTCCCCGATAACCGGTATCACGAGTTGAAGTAACGTTATCTTGCGACCTCTGACATCTCCGCCGCCACAAGATAAAACTCCCCCGCCGCCCGGCTGCCGGCAGTCTGCGAGAGGCAATCCCTACGCTGTTGAAGGTGGTCATTGCGTGTGGAAAGTTGCATGCGGAGAGGACTGACATTGCGTCATGACTTCGAGTACGCTTGGAAACGTGTAGATCTCCCGCGTGTAGTGATGCTGGAGAGGCGTTCCCTGGGGTCTGTTTCCACGGCGCGTAATGGGTCTATTTAGTGCTTTTTATTATTATTATTCGCTGCGTGTGTACTTTGATCATTCTGCAGTACTGTAGCATTTCCGAAGCCAGTAGACAAACAACGTCGGCAGCAAGTGACGTGGATATCGATTGGGTTCGCCAGTTGCTAAAAAGTTTATGACCCTGAATGGATACCGGTTATCGTCGAAAACAGTGCAAATGTCCTATTAGGGGATGAAGCCCACTTGTAGCAAGTTGCGTAGAACACTTGGTATTTATTATCTGTCTATAGTTGCTTGATATAAACAGTGAGGTGCTATGAGATTAAATATTATCGAGGGATTCTCTAACGAAGCATAATGATTGATAACGACACAGTTTTAGCAAAGATCAGAACAACTTACATAAAAAGTAAAAAAAAAAAAAATACAAGGATAAGTCACAGAGCTTAGTGCAGAGCTGCCGTAGTTGAAGGATACGCCAGAGTATCCTTTTTTTGCCTTATCAACCGGGGAGATGGTTAAATAGAGACTTCGCTGCCAGCCGAACAACAAACACACACCAGACTACCTTGAGAAACCACAAAAGGAGATTTAGTACTCCTGAAGGTTTACATGGACGACCCCAAGGATCCCGAAGGACGCTGAGTGCGTAGATGTGTTGTGGCCGAACTATGAATAGAAGTATCTGGAAGTGGGTGGCGTCTGCACCCGGAGTAGACAAAAAACGCCCTGGGTGACGGATGCCTGTCGGGTCGTGAATGCTAGTGCTTGTTCTTATCTTCGTCTAGTCATGCATTTCGGCTGCTGCCTTTGCTGATACCTGCGATGCCCGTTGCTGAGTAAGAGCCTGATCATTCGGTGCATTATCTGAAGTAGCTAGTGTATAATTGGCGTGTTTTGTGGGCCGTCGTTTGTATTTCACATAACTAGGGTATGTAAGTCCGTGAGGCGTGGCAATATTATCTTTTTTTTTACATATGTTCTTCATATTACATTAATTGGGTTTTTTTGAATACCAGTGTAGGAACGCTGTGTGATATGCACAGGTGTCGGATGTCCTGACGCAGGTGCTCGACTGGCATGCAGGTGTGATATACTAGGCGGGCCTCGCTGGCACTCCTCTAACCTTGAGGCCCTCTGGCTTGCTATTAGTCCCGTATCGCCACATTTGCAACGAAATCTTCCCTTGCGATATCGGAAATGC